AAATGCTACATGTGGCGAGATTAATATTACTCCTCCGTTAAAAAAATATAAAAAGTTTTTTTAATTAAATTTTAAAATTTTAATTAATAATTTTTAAACAAACATTATCTTTTCATGTTTGCCCTCATTTAATAGGATGTTTTACTTAAAGGTAAATGATTGAGCATGATTTATTTATTAAGGATTTTTTTAAAAAAATTTAATTACACATTGTAAAACTAAAAATGTCTTATAATTTTGAACATCTAACCTAAAAAATTGCCTTATATTTTTTTAACAGAGAAAGTATTTTATATTTAGCCTCATTTAAAATAAAAAAGAGTTAATTACCACAGAGTGCTTAGATCAAGCTAGCTGGGGGTTGATATAGCTTACATAGAGGTTTCAAATTTGAACTCTGATATGCAACAACGATTAAATTTATGGTGGGAGGTACCCCAAGAGTCAAGAGGGGTTCGCAAGCTACTGCTTAGATTATTTGCATATGGTGCTTTACCCCTGTTGCAAAGTAGTCCCTTTGAATGGGGAATACTCACAAAATTGCTTTACCAATTTATTGTTAATATTCAGGATTATAGAGTTTGTGAAATTAATTTCTGTAATGCTCTTGCCAAATGTCAACCGTCCCTTAAACTTCAGTGCAAGACTTCTACGTAATAACAAGAAGTCACTTTCCTTCACAATCTTCTATATAATATGCGTGTTAGATATAGGATTTTAACCCCTGATTTGGGTGACCGTACAAAAGATAACACCGGTAATGAAACATTTAGATTAATTGATGAACCAATTCTATCAAACTTGTCAAACGTTAAAGCTGTCATTCACTTTCCCCACCTAATTATATTTGCGTCTGGATTTATACTACATTTATCGTATTTTGATTTAGAGTCCACTACAGTTAGTCAAACTCTACAAATGTCAAGATTAATATTACTCCTCCATTAAAAATATATAAAAATATTTTTAACCAAATTACGCTTTCAATAAATTAATTAATTGTATTTAAAATAAGATTATTTTTTCATATTTGCCCTTATTTGATAGGGTGTTTCACATAAAAGTGAAGGAATGAGGTTGATTTATTCATTAAGGATATTTTTTAAATGAAAAACTCATTCATTACACATTGTAAAACTAAAATATCTTATAATTTTGAACACCTCATCCGAGAGAGCATTTTGTATTTAGCCTTATTAGAATAAAAATTGGATGCTTAGATCATCAAGCTAAGCTGGGGGATTAATTTAGCTTAACTAGAGGTTTTGAGTTTGAACCCTCGCATGTAGCAGTGATTAAGTTCTTGGTGGGAGATACGCCCCCCAAAGAGACAAAAGGTGCTTGCAAGCTATTGATCACATTATTAGTTTTGGTCAAAGACATGGAGTACTAGAGTGGAAATAATAAATAAAAAATATTAAAAATTAAAATATTATTAGAGATTAAAAAGATGCATATGATTCAAATCTTATCTTAACAGTCCAAAAGATGCACCGTATGACTACTTTTTTCAATTTATATTATTGCTTCAAGAAATTAGTTACTCGGTTGCATGCAATCGTTAGTCCAAAAGATGCATCATATGACTTTTCCAATTTATTGTTGTTTCAAGTAATTAGCTTCTCGATTGCATGCAATCGATAGTCCAAAAAATGCATCATATGACTTTTCCAATTTATTGTTGTTTCAAGTAATTAGTTACTTGATTGCATGCAATCGATAGTCCAAAATATGCATCATATGACTTTTCCAATTTATATTATCGTCTTAAGTAATTAGTTACTCGATTGCATGCATTCGCCAATTGCCATATTAATATATACACATCATGTTAACTTTGTAGTGACAGGTGCTTGATTCAACTGGTTGAGGAAGTTAAATTAGTTTATCTTGAAATTTCAAGTTTTGAGTTTTGAGATTTGCAGCCATATTAAATAAATATGTCAAAAGTATCCATGAGATACTCATGAGACCACTGTTGATGATGATAGTGTCACATAATGAGGATGTAAAGTTATAAAATTTACATATCTTATTTGTAATTTTTTTCAACAAATCTAGTGAACCTTGTCACGTGTCACAACATCACCCTCCCATGTGTCACTGTGTCAACCCGCCACATGCTGAGAAGTGATTATACATTAGATCATAACTATTTATTTTTCTTACTTGTTTTAATTAAAATGTTATTTTTACTTTCAATTAACAAAAACTCTTAAATAAAGTAATTGATTCATTTTTACCTTACATTTTACATTTTTAACTGTTTTTTTGTTTTTAAATAATAATTTTATAAGAAAATCATGCACTATAAAACAAAAAAATCATATAGCGCCCCATAGATATTGTAATGACTAGGAAATTTGGGATTTTTTTTTACAGTAAACAATTTTATTTTTGTATCAAAAGAGAAGTTCGTGCAAAAAAAAAAAATAGAGAGAGAAAGCGAAAGAGAAAGAGAAATAATTATAACTTTAAATAAAATAATTATGTTTTCTTGTTAACATTTTGATAATAATGTTATGGAAAATGCATATACATGTATGTCTATCGATTTCTGAAAATAATTAAATATTAAAATTAATAGTAACAGATTTTGATGATTTCTTTTAAATTTGAAATAGATGCAATCATAAATTAATGGCTTAGTGGAACCATACCTGCCGCTTCTCCGCTGGTCCTAAATTCAAATTCTTATTGGGCTGATGGTAGATTTTTATTTTATTTAAACCCGTTGAAATTTGCAAAATAACCCTCTAAAAATAGATTTTTTTTTAATATCCCATGTGCTTTAAGGTTTGGAAGTTTAAAAGCACTTTTATTTTATTTCATTCATTTAGTAAGTAAGATATCCTTCTATTTCGGACATCAATTCATGAAAAATTTTGCAAACATAATTGATTTCTCTAATAATATTTTAAAAATTTGAAATAGATGCAATCATAAATTAATGGCTTAGTGGAACCATGCCGGCTGCTTCTCCGCTGGTCCTAAATTCAAATCCTTATTGGGCCGATGGTAGATTTTTATTTTATTTAAACCCTTTGAAATTTCCAAAATAACCCTCTAAAAATAGATTTCTATTTTAATATCCCATGTGCTTTAAGGTTTGGAAGTTTAAAAGTACTTACATTTTATTTCATTCATTTAGTAAGTAAGATATCCTATTTCGGACATCAATTCATCACAAATTATGCAAACATAATTGATTCCTCTAATAATATTTTTTTGGAAAATATTTATTGCAAGAATTTAAATAATATTTCAATGATTAATATCATGTTCATATAATATCAAAATTTTATTTGAAAAATTGAAGTTAAATATTAAATTATACTCAACAATTGTAACTTTTCAAAAGAAGTTATGAGTGCCAATAACAACTTTCATTTAAGAAATTACAACTTTTATTTAAAGAATTTCAAAAATTAAATAAGAAATCACAATTTGTCAATAATGATAAAATGGTCTTTTCAATTTAAAATTTATTGACACAAAAGTCCCCAAAGACTTAGGTCAAATTATGGCATTTTCAGGAATCAAATTGTCATTTAAATAATTGGGGAAGATTTTATTTTCATTTTCCCTAAAAAATAATTACCATGGCATTAAGGTTTAAAATCAATTCTCAAATTTAATTTTTAAAAGGTAACCATGGTCAAAAAATGTTGAACTAAATTTTAGAGAGCTACCATGGTTAAAAAGATTCGCCTAATAAATATATACTTAAAAATGACTAACCTTGGGAGAAAAATATTAAACTAGTTAAAAAGGACTACCAAGGTTATAAAAGTTTAATGTTAATATTTAAAAAGAAAATACATTCATTAGTCTCTATAATTTTTATCAGATTTGCTTTCAATCCATTTTTTTTTTCAATATTTTTAGTCCTTATAATCCTTGTAATTTAAAACTATCAGAGACCGAAGGAACAAATGTCACCCAATTTTCCTAAAATTTATGAGGAACAGACTATGACTTGTCTTCTAAAAAAACCCAACCAGGAGGTGTCATTGTCTCACGTTCTCCTTTTACAAACTTGCCAAGGTAAGTATTGATGAATAAGACTCTAAAAAAGGCCCACTATTATGCACATAGTGGAGGCAAACAACATGGTCATTTACTATTTTATGTGTGCGCGCGTGCGCACATAATGCATACAGACATCAACGTTGTTATATCCTCATTCCATACCCAATGCATATTGCACACATGCAACATTCATAATAAATACAAGGATGCTTAAAAAGAAATAAATACTTCATTGGAACATTAACTTAAATTACATTAATCATGCCTGAAAAGGAAACACTAACAAGAACACATGGCTACACTACAAGCATGCTTGACAAGATTCAAGTAATAAAAGAATTCCAACGAATACCATTTCACAATCTCAACAAATATGCTTGTCATGCTTAACTAAATAGGATTCGTGCAAGTAAATAAATATTTATACACATTTGTAATATCACACAAAGTTTGCACACATGTGAAAAAACTTCGAGTTACTTGTTCTCCTTGAGTTTACAAGTAGTCACATAGCAAATTCAAGCAATAAAAGCTCTTAGTGAGAATCTTAAGGATAGCAGACAACGAATATTGAATGAGTGAGTAGGAGATGCAAAACCAGGTTTTGTTTATTATGTAAGGCCTTTATAATTTATGAAGTTTAAACTCAATTTCTTTTTCTCTTATTATTTGTAATTCCTTTTTTTTCTAAAAAAAATTTATTGATATAAAACTAATTTAGGGGATATGTGTTTGTACTTATATTTTATGAAGTCACACGTTGTTATCATTTATATTAGATTGGTTGTTATCCCTCTCTACAAAAAAACATAGCATATTAGATTGGTTATTATCATTTATATTTGGTTCACAAACAAAGTTTGATTATAATAAATTGTCACAAAATTCAAACAATTAGACATAAAATATACATGGTCCCCACATACTGACAGGCGTAACAACGTTCAGAGATCAAGTAGTTGAAACATCTACTTTTTATGGTTTGGAAGCCAATCACTTCCATTGATATACGAAATATTCATGAAACGAGCTGCTTCATAGTCTCTAAGTTGCTTTCCAAATGAGACTCTAGATGAATAGTTGGCTCCATCTCCAAAACAGTTATATTCTCCGAAAAAGGAAGTCCTGTAGAATGAACAACATGCACTCACAATCATCACATGTGTTGGACCACATCATAGAAAAAGATGCTTGGATTTACATCACATACTTGTTTCTGTTGGGATCACCCCAATTTTTCCATCTTTCAGGGGCTACAACACCAAACATGTATGTCGTTGAGAAGACAACAGTGGCATAAACTCGCCTTGCTCTTCCAAGCAACACCTTGCCACTTCCATCAATCTTACAATTGATGAACGAAAACCCAGTTTCTTCTTTCTTTGACTCTCTCCCATGAGCTGTAATATACCCAGTAAGCGCATCTCCTTCTTTCGTTACGGAACTTATGGTGCAATCCTAGCATCACAAGTCACATAACGTAATCAAATTTTGAATAAAAAATTAATAAACTGACACATATGACCTTAGAACAATTATCATATGAAGCAAAGACAAACGCTTAAAGTTTACCTCATAAAGAGATCTAGCATTTCCAAATATGTAATCAACAGAACCTTGTCTGAAACATTCTTTGAAGTAATGTCTTCCACTGTGATCATAGAGGGTGTCTTGAAAACCGTACATTCCACATCCATAGAATGCTACTTCGTCACCAGTCACTCTTAGGGCCGCTGCCTGTGCTCCTTCCACTTTTGGTGATGGTGGTGGGGCTGTGTTCTCAATTTTCAAATATGACAAAAGTTTCAACATATTGTCAAATTAATTTAGAAAATCCAAAAAGCAAATTAGTTGTGAAATAAAAATTAAACCAACAAATTAACTTATTTAATTATTACTTACTCTAAAACTAATGTTGTAAGCTAGAAATTTGGAAGCGAAACCTCCAACAAAGTAACTTTTCAAAGTCCCTCCTGTAGAATGGGCAATATCATTCCATTCTATTAGTGTTTAGATATCCTTGACCTTGTATAAAACGGAAAGAGCAGAAACGGAAGACACACATAATGGAGCATAATAAACTATTTGTAACCTCTCCTTAATTTCTGTAACCTCCCTTTTAATTTGTAAGGTTCAGTTTCACGATTCCAGAACTATAAATAGGACCCTTGTGGCTGTGTAAGAAGGCAGACTTGAAAGAATAAGAATTGCTTGTTTTCATTCGGTTTCTATGCCATTTTGGTATCAGAGCTGGTCCAGAAAGCGAGTGAGTTACAGTTGAGAAAGTACGTCGGAGAGAAGAAAGATTCAGTGGAGGAGTCCCTGACGTCTTTGCGTTTTGCAAACCAGGTGTTTTCTTGGAAAACTAACACCATCGTGCTCAGGAGGTTAGAAAATGTGGAACAGGAGGTTCCTCGTCACCAAAAACCAACCCATGCGCCAACGTCGGAAGTCTACACACCTTGCCACCGATCCACGTGCGGTCACGCGCCAGTCAAAGGTTGAAGATGATGACGTCATTTGCCACATCATCGCTCTGACCGGTCAACGACAGGTCAGCCCAATAGTTATCTGCCACGTCATGCTTGCCATGTCACCAAACCCAGTCAGCTAAAATTTTCAAAAATTATATTTTCGGCCCCAAATCTTTTAGTAATTCCATATTGACCCTAATATTTTCCTAAATTATATTTTTACCCCTAATCTTTTCGAAATTACTTTTTTACCCCTAATCTTTCCTAAAATTACACTTTTGCCCCTTTATTTTACATGAATTCCATTTTAACCCCTATATTTTTCATAAATTACAGTTTGACCTTCTCATTTTTCAAAATTCCTATTTTTTCCCTAGCCTTTCCAAAAATCCCATTCTATCCCTATATCTTTTTAACGTTTCCATCCGTACCCCAATCTTTCCTATATCCCTAGTATTAACACCTATCCAAAATGCCTCCAAGACGTAGACATGTGCACGAGGTTGAGATGGAAGAGATGAGACGTAGGATACAAGAGTTGGAAGCCACTGTGGAATTGCAACAAACTCTGTTAAACGACAACAGAGAAAACTTAGAGGGAGATTCGAGAAGCAGCAGTTCGTCATCCACTGACAACCGCTGTTGTCCACGACAACAACAATTCCGCCCTAATGACATTAAGGTAGACATTCCTGAATTCGAGGGAAGACTCCAGCCAGACGAGTTTGTAGATGGCTATAAACTGTTGAACGAGTATTTGAATATAAAGAGATTCTAGATGTGTAAAAAGTCAAAATTATTGCCCTCAAACTCAAGAAACATACTTCTATTTGGTGGGAAAACCTCAGACGAAAGCCAGAACGAGAGGGGAGGTGCAAGATTGAGACCTGGGAGAAAATGAAACGCCAGCTCACCGGGAAATTTCTGTCAGATCATTACCACCAGGATAATTTTAACCAGCTGCAAAATCTTCAATAGAGATCTTTATCTGTAGAAGAATATACTAGGGAGTTTGAACAACTCATGATAAAGTGTAACATTCAAGAGAAGGAGGAGCAAATAATAGCCCGGTACCTTGCAAGCTTAAACACATATATCAGTCGTCCAGTCCAGCTTCAGCAATATTAGACCTTGGATGATGTCATCCGTCTAGCCATGTATGTTGAGAAGTAGATACCTATGAGATCCACTTTCCAGCCTTCATCCTCCAAGGGTTATCCAGAAGGCCATAAGGCAAAATTTTAGTAGACCAACTCCTCAAGCAAGCCACAACCTACTGCTATGCACAAACCACCATCCAATACTACCAAGGAATCTAGTTCTAAAGATTTCAAATGCTTTAAATGCCAAGGATTTGGACACATTACTGTGGACTGTCCTACTCGAAGGGTTGTCACCATTTAAGAAGGATCAGGGTATGAAGCGCTTTAAGAAGATGAGGAGGACGCTAAGTTTTACGGCACTGATCCCGTATATGATGAGGAGGTCACACCTGCTGATCAAGGAGAAGTATTTGTGCTTAGATGAAGTCTGCATACAATAGTAGTCAAAGAAGAACCTTGGCTATGACGCAATATTTTTCACACTCGTTGCACGGCCCAAGAAAAAGTTTGTAATGTCATCATTGACAGTGAAAGCTGTGAAAACATAGTATCTAACTATATGGTAGAGAAATTGAAGTTACCAACACAAGATCATCCGCAACCTTACAAGCTTCATTGGCTCAACAAAGGAAATGAGGTAAAAGTTTCTAAACAATACCTTGTAACCTTTTCTACTGGGAATTGATATTGTGATGAAGTTTTATATGATGTTGTTCCTATGGATGCATGCCACCTTCTCTTAGGGAGGCCATGGCAATGTGACCAACATGCTATGCACAACAGGCAAGCGAACACCTATTCTTTTATGAAAGATGGTGTCAAGTTCACACTAGTGCCTCTACCACCCAGTGAGATTAGCCAATCTTCAAGAGAATCTAGTGTCTTGAAGCCGTTAGTGTCTTTGATGACTAAGGAGGAATTCAAGATATTAAAATCCAAAACCTAAATGATGAGCTTTATTCTGGTGCTTGAGATGAACGACGAGACGGCCAATCCACCAGGAGTCATTCCGCTATTGTCAGAATTTTCAGATGTAATATCTGATGAGATACTACTAGGGTTGCCTCCAATGCGAGACATACAGCATGCCATTAACTTCGTTCTAGGAGTAATCATTCTTAATAAGCCTGCTTACAGGATGAGTCCCTAAGAACATACCGAAGTCCAACGGCAAGTTGAAGAGTTGTTGAAGAAAGAGTTAGTTCGAGAAAGTGTCAGCCCTTGTGCTGTACCTATTCTTCTAGTACCTAAGAAGGATAAAAGTTGGAGAATGTGCATTGACTGTCGAGCCGTCAACAAGATCACTATTAAGTATCGGTTTTTGATACTTCGGCTTGATGATATGCTAGACCAGTTGCATGGTGCCACTACTTTCTCGGCCAGGAGATGAGTAGAAGACCGCTTTCAAGACTAAATATGACTTATATGAGTGGAATGTGATGCCTTTTGGGTTAACAAATGCCCCTAGCACATTTATGCTCCTAATGAATCAAGTATTGAGACCCTTCATTATTAAATTTGTTATTGTGTACGTTGACGATATTCTTATTTATAGTAAGAATTAAGAGGAGCATTTAGATCACTTGCAGCAAGTTTTGCAAGCCTTGCGTGAATAGAAGCTTTATGCAAATCTCAAGAAGTGCACCTTCCTCACTAGCGAAGTTATGTTCTTGGGTTACATCATTATCGCGGAGGGTGTTTGCGTTAATCCAAGCAAAGTTGCAGCCATTGACAGCTGGCAAATTCCAAAATCTATCCAGGAGGTTCAAAGCTTCTATGGATTAGCTTCTTTCTACAGGAGGTTCATCCGTAATTTTAGTTCAATTGTTGCACCATTTACAGATTGCACCAAAGGAGAGAAGTTTTAGTGGACAGAGCAAGCTCAGAAAAGCTTTAAGGAGCTTAAAAAGAAGTTGACTGAAGCTCCAGTCCTAGCTCTTCCTAACTTTGACCAAGTGTTTGAAGTTAGTTGTGATGCTTCTAACACCGGCATTGGTGCTGTCTTAAGCCAGGAGGGCCATCCTATTACCTTTTTTAGTGAGAAGCTTAATGATGCCAAGCTTAGATATTCTACCTATGATAAAGAATTTTATGCCATTGTTCGAGCTCTCTAACATTGGAGTCATTATCTCCTGAATAAAGAGTTCATACTTTTTTCTGATCATGAAGCTCTTAAGAATTTGAATTCCCAGTAGAAGATCAGTCGCAAACATGCTCGTTAGAGTGAACTCTTACACTCTTATCCATTCCTTATTAAACATAAGGCTGGAACTCTGAACTCCGTAGCTGATGCCCTTAGTCGTCGCCATGTGCTACTTACAACACTACAAACCAAGATTGTTAGATTTGACCTTGTCAAAGAGTTGTATCAGGATGATTCTGATTTTTGTGGAGTATGGGTAGCAACTGTAAATCAACCTTTCCACCGGTTCTATAGACATGACAGGTTTTTATTTCCACAGGGTTCCTTGAGAGAAGCCATAATTTGGAAAGCATATGACGGTGGATTAGCTGGACATTTTGGACGAGATAAGACAGTTAACCTAGTAAAGGAGAACTTTTACTGGCCTCGACTTAAACGGGATGCCAACAGGCATATACAGAGATATAGAATTTATCACTTGGCTAAATCCAAGGGTCAGAATACTGGACTATACATGCCTCTACCAATTCCAGAAGGACCTTGAAAAGATATAACTATAGATTTTGTTCTGGGTTTACCACGGACTCAGAGGCAAAAAGATTCTGTCATGGTAGTTGTGGATCGTTTCTAAAAAATGGCCCATTTCATTCCATGCCAGAAGACTAATGATGCTGTTCAAGTAGTAGACTTGTACTTTAAGGAGATTGTGCGTCTTCATAGCATTCCTAAAACTATCACTTTTGACTGTGATGTGAAGTTTCTTAGCCACTTTTGGCGGATGCTATGGAAGAAGATGGGAACTAAGCTCCAATTTAGCAGCGCTAGTCATCCCCAGATAGACGGTCAAACTAAAGCTATAAATAGGATTCTTGGTAATCTTCTTCGCAGTTTCATGGGGAAGAATTTGAAGCAGTGGGATCTTATTCTTGCTTAAGTTGAGCTTACTTATAATAACTCTGTCAATCAAGCAACTGGGAATTGTCCGTTTGAAGTTGTTTATGGCACTCGTTCCCTTAGTCTACTAGACTTGAGCCCTTCACTTGATAAGCAGTAATATTTCTTTGATGCTGGCCAAAGAGCTAAGGAAATTAAGAAGTTGCATGAGCACGTCTGTGAGCGAATCCAAAAGCAGAATTTGAGATACAAGGCTCAACGTGACAAGCATCGAAGGCAGCAGACTTTTAAGGTAGGAGACTTAGTTTGGATACATCTACGAAAGAAACGATTTCCTAAATAGCCAAATGCCAAGTTATCCTTAAGAGTTGATGGTCCGTTCAAGATAGTGTAAAGGATCAACAACAATACTTACAAGGTGGAATTACCTGGTTTTTATGGTGTATTTTCCACCTTCAATGTCACTGATCTATCTCCATATGTTGATGAAGATGATGAATTTAACTCGAGGGTGAGTTCTGCTCAACTTAAGGAGGATGAAACGGAAAGAGCAGAAACGAAAGACACACATAATGGAGCATAATAAACTCTTTGTAACCTCTCCTTAATTTCTGTAACCTCCTTTTTAATTTGTAAGGTTCAATTTCACAATTCCAGAACTATAAATAAGACCTTTGTGGCTGTGTAAGAAGGCAGACTTGAAAGAATAAAAATTGCTTGTTTTCATTCAGTTTCTATGCCATTGTAATATCAAATTTATTTTGCTCACATACACTGCTACCTTCTCTCTATACATCATTTCCAAGAAATATCATATAATTGTTACAAAAGTGTTACTTAATAAACAATTAAAAGTATTTATCATAACTAAATGTATAACAAGGAATGAACTAGCCTATAAAACCAAGAATCAACATTGATGAGTGTTTTATCATGTCTTGACCTAAGAGCTTCTTCCACAGCTTCCTATATGCTAGTAAAGTTCCCACATCCTTTTAAGCTAAATGTCAAAATAAGGCTAATGTGGTAGTCTAAAATGGTATTAGAGTCCCATATATGTTAAGAATAAAGCCCATGCTAAGAAGAAAGCCCAAGCCTCAATTAAGTCTGCCTTCAGTGATTCATCTAGTCTATATAGCAGGCCCACTGTGATTGCAGAAGACTCTAAAATAATTTAGCTAGCCTAAATGTTATGTATTCTTATTCTTTAATTTTGACACATGTATTAGGGGATTCTTTCATTCCTTGCACACCACTACTTTAATGCGTGTGCATATGTACCTTTCCTATAGCAATCATGATATACAAAAATCACCTTTCTGCCAATCTCTCTCTTTCTCTCTTATTTGTTTTCTTAATTTGGTATTAGAGTAGCATGGCTAGCGCCATCAGATCCTCTTCCACCACCATCTCCGCCATCTGTTCTTCTTCTATCTCTACTCAACGAAAACCTTCATCTCTCATGTCTTCCAATTCTCATGCCATTTCTATCAAGTTGGACGGAAACAATTATCTCCTTTTGTAGACAATCATTCTTTCTATCATTCGTGGTTTCAGCTTAGAAGGTCATATTATAGAGGCAAAGTTATGTCCCTCTAAGTATATTTTTGAGAATGAAGAGCTCAAGATTAACCCAGCATTTCAAGAATGGTAGGCTAGTGATCAAATATTGATGGGATGGCTTTATAACTCTATGACACTAAAGATGATCGATCAACTCACCAATTGCAAGAATGCTTTTGAGCTTTGGCAAGCTACTATAGATCTTGCTGCTGCAAGTCTTAGCTCCTGTGTTTTGATGCTCAAGTCAAAGCTTAAACAAACTCACAAGGGAACTCTAAAAATGCATGAATATCTTACTAAAATGAAGACAATATTTGATAATTTATTAATTGTTGGAAGTCCTATCTCTATTTTTGACCTTGTTGTTCAAGTGCATGCAAGTTTAGACTAGGAGTATAACCTTATTATTTGTCACCTTGCTAATAAAAAGGATCCTATATGGGTGGATTTGCAAGCTGCTCAATTATCCTTTGAATGTCGATTGGAGCAGCTGAATCACATGACTACTCAAATGAATGCTCTCACTATTACGTCTTCTATTTCTCATTTTCCTCCTAGTTGTGATACCTTTCATGGTCCTTGGAGAGATAGATAGACTAAAGGAGGATGAGGCTTTGGAACTCGAGGTATTATTATCTACAAAATACTGCTAGAGTTAATATTGCAGGAGCTGGAGGAGACAACAACAATAATACACCCCCTTACTATAACGATCCACTTGCTACTCCTAATACTGTGAATGATTGTAACTAGTATATTGATAGTGGTACGACACATCATGTGATTAATAATGCTACTATGGTTTAACTAATAATAGGTTATCCAGGTAAATTGGTCTTGTATGTTGGAAATGGTCAGTCTATTCCCATTAATTGTATTGGTGATAGTAAAATGCCTTGTCTAAATGGTAGAAGTATTCATCTCAAGGAAGTTTTGTGTGCTCCACATATTACTATGAACTTGATTAGTGTTGCCAAGCTTTTGTGTGACAATGATGTGATTGTGATATTTGACTCTATAGTTTGTTATGTGAAGGACAAGAGGATAGGACTACTAATGCTATAAGGAACAATTGATAAAGGCTCATTTCATATGAATATGAATAGAGGTGCCTAGTCTGCTAGAGTCCACGTAGATTATTTAGGAAACAACTTACAGTCTTATAATGAGCTTATGAATTGGCACATACGCTTAGGCCATCCTTCATTTGCAATTTTGTCTAAAATTCTACATGATTATAATGTTGATATTGGAAATAATAAACCTATGTTTTGTGAAGCATGTCACTATAGAAAATTGCACAAACTGCCATTTAATAATTTTGATTCTCGGGCAATATTTCCTCTTGAATTTATACACTCAGATGTATGGGGTCCTGCACCCATGAATTCTACCAATGGCTTTAAATTATTATGTCCATTTCTTGATGATCTTAGTAGGTTTACCTAGATATACCCACTGATAAATAACGGGAAGTAAAATCATCATTCATTCAGTTTAAAAATCTCATTGAAAATCAGTTTGTTTCTAAGATCAAGAAATTTATGTGTGATAGAGGTAGTGAATACAAAGCTCTCTAGGAAGTATTTAACACTATTGGTATACAATTTAGAATGTCATGCCCATATACTTCTACATAAAATGGAAGAGCAGAAAGAAAATATCATCATATTGTAGAAATGAGATTAACCATGCTTGCTCAAGCAAAAATGCCTTTATACTATTGTTGGGAAGCTTTTCAACTGTTGTCTATACTATTAGTATTCTTCCAACTAATATTCTTGCAGGTGACTGCCTTTATTATGTTTTATATCATAAGAAACTAGATTACAAGAGCCTTAAAGCATTTGGTTATGCTTGCTATCCCTTTCTTCATACATACAATAAGCATAAACTGGCTTTTTACTCAACAAAATGTGTCTTCATAGGCTATAGTGGCCAACATAATGGCTTCAAATGTCTAAATTCTAATGGAATAATATTTATATCAAGGCATGTTTTCTTTAATGAAGATGAGTATCCCTTCTCTGTGGGTTTCTTACATGTGTCATAGCAATTAGTTGTGCTTAATCAAGCTTTAGAATCCTTTCCCATTTGTATGCAGCAGATAAGTGATTCACAACAAGTTGAAGAACAAGAGTATTTCTCTTCCAGCAACACAGATGGAAAATAATGTTCAGAATAATACAAAATCAACACAGTAAAGTGACATGAATCAAAACCAAGATCCTATCCAAAGCAGTACTAGTAACTATTTATCTAAATCCCAAGCTGTTGACACTAAATCTAATGCTAACAATCAAAATCAAGCCGTTACAAGTGAACATCCCATGGTAATAAGGTAAAAAAGTGAAAAATTCAAGCCAAAGTATCCTTTTATTGGCATTACTTTCGCTATTAATGATGCTACTATAAAACCAACAAATGTGAAGGAAGCTATATCTATCTCAGAATGGAGAAAAGCTATGCACAAAGAATATGATGCTTTGACTAAAAATCACATGTGGGATCTTGTTCCTTTCACAAATTAGAACGTAATTGAATGCAAATGGATATTTAAAACTAAATATCTTGTTGATGGTTCAGTGGATAAGTGTAAGGCTCGATTGGTAGCCAATAGGCTTTTATCAAGACGCATGTATCAATTTTCAATTTTCATGCTACCTTTAGTCCAATAGCTAAACTCACTACAATAAGAATTTTACTGTCAGTAGTAGTGACTTTAAACTAGCCTTTGAAATAGCTGGACATCAATAATGCATTCCTTAATGTGGTCATTTATGAAAATGTTTTTATGATGCAACCAGAAGTTTTTGTAGATTCTCTATGACCTAATCATGTATGTAAGCTTAGGAAAGCTTTATATGCCTTAAGACAAGCATCTCAGGCTTAGTTTGAAAGACTCTATGGTGTTCCCATTGGTTAGGGATTTTATTATACTAAAAGTGACAACTCACTTTTCATTTTAAGCACTCCCACTCATATTGTGATCTTGCTTATTTATGTCGATGACATTTTAGTCACTAGAAGTAAACTGACAGAAGTACAGCATGTTATACAAAGGTGAGTGTTATGTTTACATTAAAA